CATCACAGCAGTGGTTAGCGGACCCTTGTTCCTGGACTGGTTCTTACCGCCAGCGTCAGGATGCTGGAACACAATGAACTCTTAAGTCCTGGAATTGTTACCGTGTGACCATGACATCATAGAATAGCCCAACAATTCCGTCTCCTGATGTTTCAAACATGTTTTGGGCTAAGCCACCAGAAGAAGAGAGGGAAGATTTCGGGAAAATATCCTGCACAACTGAGATCCAAGCGGCATTTATCCTCTCCTCCTTTGTGACTTTCTTCAGTGGACTGATCATCTTATTTGTTTCCAGGCTAGTCTGGAGAATTATAAAAAGATGGCGAAGACTCAAGGGAACAGGAGTTTTCTTGGTCAGTTTCCTTATTTGGGTTCCCCCCCATATGAAAATCAGAGACAGGTTTGGCCTATGTTTGTGCTTAGCAAATAATGTAGGCTTCGCTCAATTTTGGGGGGCAACAGAGCCAGTGGCTCTGGTCTGGTGCCCTAGAAAGGGGGTAAACAGGACCCCAGGCCACCATTCAAAAGCCTGCAGGGACAGGGATGGCCCTCCTCTCTCTCCCACCACCGGCAGAGGCAACGTCTTGTGTGGATGGATGATGAATGTGAGCTCTGAACACCGAGGTCGCTGCTCTGAAAAGATGTCCATAAACATTATGTCTGTGCCTCTATTCTGAATTTTAAAAAGACAATTGTGCTGGGTACCAGAAAGGAGGCAAAAAAGAACAAGACATCAACGTGTCAGTCTCACTTTCAAAAATGGTTCATGTGTGATGAATGTGTACTGACTTGTATACACTGTTTTTGTATACTATGGGAGCAAAACATAGCACACACCAACTGCGCATACCTGCAGAAACCCGTGCACACATGCGGGTGCCATCCAGCCACAAATTATACCACTTCTTACACCTAAACAAGCTTCACAAGTGTTGGTGTTGTTGAATGACAGCGGCAAATAATGATGACGAGAAAAAATGATACATCACCCAGATAAGACACTGCTTTGGAACTTAAAATAAAGCTCTTGTATGCTACATAATGGCTGTTCTAGTACCTGAGGTCAAAGGCAAAGCATTTTATTATGGCCTATGTAGTTTCTTTCCTTTTTTGTCTCCCAAGCTTTCTTTTTCTCTGATTAAAGTGATTTCCATAGTAGAACACATTTTACCTGTGCACCCTAATTAATATTGAAAATTTGCTTAAAAGATTTTTCTTAATGCTAATAAATGAGATAAAATAACATAATTTATAACTTAGTAAATTTTTAAGGTTATTGGAAATATGAAAATCAGGTTTCTATATTTGAAAATGATCTAATATTGAAGCTCATAGATTTTGTTGGTAAATGACTTCATTCTATTAATAATTATTTCCACATTAGAGAATATAAGCAGTGGCATAAAAATTGCAGAAAGAATTCCGGGACACTAACTTATAGGTACATAGGTATGGTTAGTCAGCCCGTTGGTTTCTACCTTTTTAATTTTTTTTTTTTAATGTACAACTGAATTTATAGAATTTTTAAAATTTTGTAGTCTCCTGCTTCAGGCAATGTTTCTTCTTCTCCATTATATTAATTTTTGTGTGGTTACAAACCTGTGAAAGCACATTTTTCAATTCATATTTGCTCTATATTTTATTTCTTACTTTGGGTGTAATTCATATCTATTCTTGAATCCATGTGTACTTCAAATATTTAATTTCAAATATTAAGCAAATGTTACAAAAGGTTAAAAAGTGGGATCTGAGAAACTAGAATGCTATATTGTTCTGCTTTTGAAACTTGAGAAGAAAGTTTCATCAAAGTTGAGTTACTTCTCACTAATTTGTTATATTAAATTTGCTTTGATCTAAGCCTTTAGAAAAGTTGGTCAAATGCAAAGTATGTCACAAACCTAGGTACTGTGAAGAGTTCTTTTAAAAATTATTTGGGGAGTTACAACTTCTCCTTAAATGTGCACTTTGGAAGATTTACTATATTCATAAGTATGATTTTATTATATCTTATGGCCAATTTATTTTTCCACAGAAGTCACTTCTGATTTTATAATGGAATTCAAATGCAATTCATATTAATATCATACTGTATTTTTTTAAAAAAAATCAATTCTCACACAACATCTAATGAACATACATGAGGAACCATGCATATTATAGGGCAAATCATTGATTAGGATGTGAACTTTATCAAAAAGTCTTTTAATAAGAGATTCCAACCTCCCATCCAGAAAATATGAGTAGAAAAATTTAAGCAATTTTTGAAGCCTTGGTTCCACGTAAAATGAACTTTTCTGAAAGTCAGAGGGACTCAGTCAGCTTGGTGTGGCCTGTCCTGGTTAGTGTCGTTGTTGGCGATAGTTCTCTAGACTATGTCAACAGACACGAGGTGATAGAGCCGACTCTAGCCTTTCCTCATTGCCTGATACTGGGCAAGTCATTTAATTTCTCTATACCTTGGTTTCCATGTCAGTATACAATTGATCCAGTCATATCAATATAAAATTGATTTAATTATACCTGCTCTATCTACCACATAATATTATTATAAAATTAAAATATAATGAATAAAAGCATTCTATCAATGTAAGGAAGGATTATAATTTCAGGAGAGTAACCAGAAAAAGAACTAAAAGCAACACAAAATTGTAGAAACTCTTCTTCCTCCTTCTCTCTTAAAAGCAGATGTTTAAGCCATCACCTAAAAATAAATCTGTGATCTTTTTTTCCTTTTCCGTGTATCTTAATGGAAAATTTTGAAACACTTATTCCCAGAGCAGGAAAAACCTGCTGCTTCCAGTCCTGATTCATACAGTGATGTCAGTTTGAATGGTGAGAAAGGCCCGGGCGAAGACCACGGAATTCAGAATAAAAGACCTGTACAGAAACCGGTACAATGCAAATGCAGTCAAATTCATATTCTGAACTATTGAATAAGCAACTTCAGGGTTCCCTGGGTTGGACAAGGTAGCGTGATTTCTGGCTGGTATCACAAGAGGCTCTATTGACATAAATACAACAGATTACTTTCTCTGAGATCCAGCTCACACTGTCAATTTCTTTCTCTTGCTTGTAGGAACTATTCTCACCCGATAGTGTCCATGATAAGCCTGACTTAAGAAGCCTCCACTTCCAGGGAGTGTTTCGTGATCAGATAGAAATGTTGCTTTCGGCACAGACCTTTGTGGGGCGAGTGTTGGTAAGTACGTTTTCCTTGTTAGCTGCTAATGAACTCTAGCCATGAGCGTGATTATAGCCAGTATATGTACTTTTATCACCCAGGTAAGCATCTGGCGTTCCCTGGTGGTCTTATCTAAAATTGCACTGCTCCCAACCACTACCTCCCTTTGTCTACTACTCTTTATTTTTCTGCTTTTTCTCTGGAGTAAATATAATCACTCTTGGCATTATATTTTATATTTATTGTCAGCCTCTCCACTAAAAGGAAAGCTTTTTTTTAGACAAAGGTTGTTTGCATTTTGTTCATTTCCTCTGACCGTCCAGAGGGATGTCTGGCACATCGATATTTTTAAAAATGATGTTTAGTAAACTAACCTGACCTGAAATGTGTAGCTACTTTCCCCTCCTTTGTGTCTGGTAGATCTTTTTTCTTCATTATACAAGCCTGCCTTTATTGCCCCTCTGTGATATTGATCACTTTACTTCCTATTTTAATGTTGTAACTCAGGTGTGTTAAAGCTCAGTTCAGGCATCATCTCCTCTTACCTCGGTATTAGGCTAGGGTCCCCTCCTCTGGCTTCTGTAATGTCCACTCAACATTGTTATTAAAATTATCTGCACACGTGCTTGTCTCCCGCAGCGCACTGTGAGCTCTTGCGAGAACAGAGTATGTCATGGAAATGTTTGCGTCCCGTTGTCTGACTATAGCGTGTGCCCCGTAAATAAATATTGCACTGATTATCATTCCAGTAGTATAGTTTGATCTGAAAGATAAAAACAGGGAATCTGTAATTTGGGGTATGCTGCCACCAGGTGGTGTTATGGTGGAAGTAGGTTCATGTGCACTAGAGATTATCCTCTGCTTTTTATAATTAGCAAAAACATGGCTCTTTTCCAGTTACTGTTGTTTTAATTCAGATGTAATAAATTGCTAAGGCTGGCTTGGAAGTATGCAAGTAAAATTGCTTTCATAAAAGCTGCAGGGAATGTTGACTCATCATCTGGAAATGTGCCTCTCCTTTTTCTGTCTTCTAAAGCTTTTGGTCTCTTTCCCTGAAATCCCTGTGGGTATGACCTGTTGCAGGAGGATTTTGTGATTCTCTCTGACTATATCAGGGACTCCTTGGCTAGGGTTTCTTCACACGCTCAGAGAATGTTTGCCTGTGTGAGGACAATATTGGGAATAACTTGTTAAAGGTCACTGGAGTGAGGCAGAAGGGAGTTTACAACACCCACCATATGAGCATTGCGCATCAGGAATGGGCGAGGAAGGAAAGATCATTGATTATATACCAACAAAAATTACTTCTTTAAGGATGGAAAATTGTATTCTTTTAACCTGTAATAGATGATGATTATCTAGATGGAACACCAGAGTTAAGGTTAGATAAGAATAAACACTCTAGCATTGAAAGGCATAACTGACGTTCTTAGGGATTCCAAGTGAGCGTTTATGAAAGAGTGAGAAGAGAAAAAAAATGCCTTATAGAATTCCTGCTTCTATGCTTCTTTCCTTCCTTTGTAATTCCTTTACTTCTTTCAACTAATATTTATTGTTTGCCAACTATACACTAGGCGGACACTCTAGGCATAGTGAAAAATGCACTATGGAACTTAAATTCTAGCAGTGGTGGAGATGATATGTATGCACACACCTAAATAAATAAGACAAATTCAGACGTTGATCAATGCTATGAGGGAATATGAGTGATGTGTTTGTGCGTGTTGGTTATGCAGCTAGCTCCCATTCGATAGATACAATGATCAGACAAGAAATCTCTTCAAAGGTAACATTTGAGCTGGGACAGGAAGAACAAGAAGAGCAAAGCAATTGAAAAATGGATGGAACAGGGTTTCAAACAGAGAGAACAGACTTGTAGAGGTAAAGAACTCCGATTACCACGAGTACGGGAAGGAGGCCCATGTGCTGGTGGCCAAGCAGGGCAGGGCGGAGTGATGGCTGAGAAGACACTGGAGAGAGACTCAGTGTCTTGTGATTTATAGGAGACATCCGGACAGCTCAGACGGAATCACTCTATTCAATGCCAAGGAAAGCCACTGAGGCCTCAAAGCGTGCATCGACAGGGTCTGCTTAGGTTTTAAAGTTGAAGAGGCACTAAAGGCTAAAAATAAGGGAATTGCCAAAGATATACCAGACAAGTGACAATAGAAATTGGGAGTGCCATTTTAATGTCACATTAGTTTGAATTCAGGGCAAAAAAAGCATCAAACGAAGCCGAGTAACCCGTGTTAGTTTTCTAGGACTGCCGTACCAAAATGCCACCAGCGAAGTGGCTTAAGCAACAGAATGTGTTGCCTCGTTGTTCTGGGGGCTAGAAGCCCAAGGTCAACACGTTGGCAGGATTGTTTCCTTTTGTGTCTGTGCTGAAGAAACCGACCCATGCCTCTCTGTTAGCAGTGGTTTGCTGGCAACCTGTGATCCTCAGCTGATCATTGTGACACCCCAGTTTCTGCCTTCCTGTTCACGTGGTGTTCTCCCTGTGTGCATGCCTGTCTCTGTGTCCAAATTCCCCCCTTGCATAAGGTTACCAGTTACACTGGGTTAGAGCCCACCCTTATGGCCCCATCTTAAATTGCACACATCTACAAAGACCTTTTTTTCAAACAAGGTCACATTTAGAGGTGCTGGAGATTAGATCTTTTCAACATATTTTGGGGGTGGGGAGGACACAATTCAACACATAACCTTTGAAATGATAAATATAACAAATCACAACCAAGATATAACATCGTGAATATCACTGCACCAAAACTATCACCTTAAGATGTGCAAAACATTATGAAGTTATTTAGATAAATAAAAAATAATTAAAATAAATGGATTAAGTGTCGAGCTCAAAAAGTTAGGAAGAAAACAGATTAAATCTAAGCAGAATACATTTTAAAAGATGAAGTCATAAATTAATGAATTATAATACAGCCGATTATTTTGAACAAACAATGAACTAAAGAAATCATCAGCCACCTTGTTTAGGTTAAACAAGGAAATAAAGAGAAAAGGACAAATGTATGAAATAAGACATTAAAATGAGAACATAAGTACAGATAGACAAGAAATTGAGAGATATATATGCAATTAAATTTGAAAACTGGGTTTATCCCTTAGGGTAATATAAATTATCAAAACTATCAGTAACAAAAAGGAACTGAGACCAAACATCTGTAAAAAATAAAATTGTCAAAGACCTATAATCGTCATCATATCACACCTTCTTCTCCCTCCCATGGGAGACCTTTATGATTTGAAGGTCCAGTCTACGAAGCTCTCAGGGATTGGATATCTTTCGGGCTAATTAAACAGTTCCAGGGCATAGGAAATAAAAGAAAGCATTAAATTTTCTTTTTCAATAAAAGCATGGAATCTATATCAAAACTCCCCAAAATAGAAAATTCTTAAAAATCTAAAGACTAATGTCTTTAATACTTTGGGGGAAAATGCCTGGACAACCACCCAGTGTAAGAAGAAGAAAATGAAGAAGAAGGAAGATTAGGAAAAAAAAAAAAAGAGGAAAATAACAAAGAAGAAAAAAAAAGAAGGAAAATAAGAGGAAGAAAAGTCCAACAGTCAAATGGAAAGAAAAAATTCTCTTCCAAACAAAGTGCTTTCTAGAGACGCTTCTAGATTAGAACATGACAAGGTATTGATCATCTCTGTAGCATCTATGGGTTTGGTATTTTAGTGTTATCACAAGGTATGTTTTTATATCAACTACCTGTAGAAGAAATTTTCTTCTGAATTTAGTTCCAAATGTGGTCCTGTTTCTAAACAATTATTCTGTTTCATTTTGAGTTTTGTGGGGGGCATTGTTAATTGTATAACTGACTGTGTTTCTCTGTTGCTTTGTGGCTAGAAAATTTAAAATGAAAATTATGGCTTATTTTTATCAAATGTATCTATTTTTAGCCTCATTCTAGGCACCCCTGTCTGTTCACATTCTACTTTTCTGTCTTCTCTGACTTCTATTTTTTCAGGCAATCTAGCATTTTCTGTCTTCGTATTCTGCCTTAAATCCTTTCTGTAAATGTAAATGTAAATCTTTTCTGTGCATGTGTAACCCTTTCTGTAGATAAGTAAGGCTTTAGCAACAACAGTCGTCAGCCTTTGTACAGAGAACAACTAAAATGAACAAATAAAGCATCACAATTCATTTGGAAATAAGAAAAATTGTTTTAAAAATGATGCTGGGAAATTGACTAAATAAAAACCTATTTTGAAGCTGACTGATCGCAGATACCAGCTGCCAGATTGTCTCAGAAAGAAGGAAAAGTTTTAGATGAAAAAGAAAAAACAACAAACTAACAACCATAGATTGGCTGTATTTCCAAGGAAAAAGTGCCAGAACCTACCAGAGATTCCACGGGAAGAAGCTGTGGAGAAAATAAGAAGGAGCAAGACATCGGCAGAGATCAACCCCGAAGAGGCTTGGAGTCAATATGAAAACTGCTCCTTTTCATACGGTCCACAAGTCCACACCCAGCGGAGGGAGGAGAAGGCTGGGTGGGCCAGGAGTTTCTTGGGAGAAATCCTAAAATTGACATATTTCCTCTTTGTAAGGAATTGCAGCAAGGAGAGCAAGTTCTAGACCCCAAGAAATAAGAGATTGATGAGCAATAAACATGCCACTCAATCTTTCTTGCGAAACCTGCCCCTAAAAAGGAACAGGGATTTTTTTCAGCATGGCAGTGGCTCAAATTGTGTCCTGTGGCAGAGGGCCCTGGTCTCCTGCTGGAGCCTCTTCCCTCCCTCTACATCCTTGGCGGTGGTGGACCAGAGCGCAGTTGGCCTTGGCAGTCTCGTGCGCTTGGTGCTTTCTCTTGATCACAGCCCCTGGTCCTTGATCCAGCAATCTGGAGTGACAGCTCCTCCCGCATCCGCATCCACATGGACCCCTTCTCCAGACACACGGTAATCACCCACTTCAAGGCCAGGGAGATGCTGATTGGCGAGGGGCACAGGGACCTGGTAGCAATGGTCCCCATCCTCGAGGCTGGCAGCCC